GCTGACCAAAGAATATCTCGTCTCGGGTCGTTCCCCGGATAAACAACCGCTCATCGTTAGACGGGAACATGTGGGTAAGCGCATTGGGGACGCGACGACCAAGAAGGTAGCCGTTGTGGCTGCCTATGCTCCTCACCTCAGGGTTGTCTTCCCTGGCTTACGTTTGTAGCCAAAAATTCTCCGACGGCACTAGGCGGGATGGTGGAATGGCCATACAACTGTAAAGTGTTGAAGCAGGTTGCGCTTTGGCTAGATACGTCTCCTGGTATTCCGCCGGAGACGTTACTGGTTACAATAATTTTTTATTGGTGGTACTCGTCAATCCTGGAAATCCAGGATGAATGTAGACTTAGGGCACTTGCCCATTAGAGAAGAGCGTCGTCGGGAACCGGGATACCCAGCTGCAAAACTATTATCTACATTCTCGATGCAGCTTGATGAACGGACGGTGAACAACTGCTAAAATTTTTCGAGATGCTCTGGCGTAGTATAACCACACTTTAATTCTGTTGCAGGTAGCCTCGACTTTATGTTGACACCACCTAGCAGATACTACTGAACTAAAGCGAAAAGCTGGCGTACGTTTGCAAAACTTTGAGCTTATTTATTGCTATTGTTATTAAATTTTTTAAGATAAAAACTATACTAAAACCATCTAGGAAGTGTCAAGAATCGATATGCAAAATTTCAGCAAAATCGGTTCAGTAGTTTTTGCGGTTAGCGATTACAACGATCTTAGTGACTTTGCTAAATACATTAGTAAGATCTGTGTGTCGGTAGGTAGTTTAGATACTCTTTGCCGTGTATTGTTGTTCTTTCTCGTTTTTTTTGCTTATGTGGTCCGCAATAAAGTTTATGAACGAATGACCCCCCCCCCTTCTCCAAAATTGGTTTAATTTATCTTAATTCTGTAGGTAGTCGAAAGAAAGGTCTGAGCATCAAGTATTCAGTGCCGAGTGGCATATACATTGAGTCAACATTCCTGATCCAATCTGACTGCCTGAACCACGTGACTTACAGATTTTCTTCAACAAAACTACAATAAATCTCGTGGCATGGACCCTGAAGAGATCAAAAAAGGCTTTAAAGAAATTCTTGAGCTTTTCTATCAAAATAAGGGTGAAAAAAAAATTTTTGTCTGCTATAAAATTCAAAATTTCGGCAATAACACGTGACCTACAGCTTTTTTTCAAGAAAACTACTATAAACCTCGCAGCATAAACTCTGCAGGGGTCTAAAAAGGCTTGAACAAAGTCTTAAGCTCTTCTATCAAAAGATGTATAAGAGAAATTTTTTTGTCTGCCATAAAATCCAAAATGGCGGTAATAACACCTGACCTGCAGATTTTTTTCAATAAAACTACNTTTTCACTCTCTCTCTCTCTCTCTCTCTCTCTCTCTCTCTCTCCATCATTATCTTCTCTATTGTACTTATACAGGTATACGTATAGGCCCCTTTATAGGTATACAATAGGTATACTAATTGCCTTTGTCAATATTTTGCACTGGTAGAAAACGATGAATTAATTTTAAAATTAGTATCATTTTTTTATCATTTTTTGAAAATTGTTTCTTAGTGAACATGATTATTTTAAAATAGAAAAATTTTACCATAATTCAAAGTTTTTCCCGAATTTTTGAGTTCTGATCACTCAATTCCTGTATGTTAACCCGATTTCAGTAAGGAGCCAACAAAGCTTGCGAACGTGTATAATTACGTTTAGATATCCGAAAAGAGACAGAGAAATTATTACGCATGTACGTACTGTTAAACATATGTATGTACTAGCGGCCCCCCGTCTCAGCTTCGCCCGAGACGTACTAAATAGAACGCCGTAGTGGGTTGACATGTAATGTAAAACGTTTTCAGTTAGAAACTTAACATAAATTCCTGACACTTATTAAAACAAAATTCTTATTAAAAACGTATTTTTTCGGAATCCTACGGTTCATTTGGTCAAATAATATGCTGTGAAAATAAAAAATAAAATAATTATGCTGAAAGGCACCATGCGTTCCTGATGCCATAAAATAATCGTTGGCCAAAAGGGGCCGTTGATTTGTAGTTTCTCCCGTATAATTTACGCAAAGGGCTATTTTTAAAGCTGTTAAGATTTTAAACTCCCAAAAAATGTATATTAAAAAAATTTTTTTTTCTCTTATCTAACAACTTTATTACCAGAGCAACTAAGTCCTGGAGCTCAATCTCTGCATTTTTGATCGCCAATATCTTGTCGATTAGATACATTTGAAGTTTTCCTTCCAATTCACACTCTTGCGACTTTTGGCATGCCTAAGACTTTTGTGACCCCTAGAGGCTGTTTTCTGTCAACTTAATTAAGTTCTAATATATTTGTTCGCAAGATAGTTCGACGTCCGATGGCCCTAAAACAGACCGGTGAGCTTCTTAAGTATAGTCTTTCTTGACTGAAGTTAACAGCAATTGTGACTGCCAGATAATTCAGGGTGATCTTCTCTGGCCTGCTGTTGAAGCCCCAGACTGATCGGGAGAAAAATTACTAAGTCCGAAGTTTTGGAGCTAGTTGTAGAGATCATTCTCAGCATCTACTAGTATGACTTCGAAGACGTTGGTGTCTACAGCACCTTTTTTTGCAGACTCAGTTGTTTTGGTGATCTAAGATGGGGAGATTGTTTCGTGAGGCTAGCCCTTTGGAGACTCCCGTTGGCTCGAGTTTTTTTTACCCTTCATAGCTGTTAGGTTCGCCCATCGCAGACCTTGGAGAGGATCGGTGATTCCTGGTTGAATGCTTAGAGTCGAGAGAGTAACATGGGGTCGTCGATCATCGGAGTTCCCAGCTTTGCGACGAACAACTGCGCTTGTGGCGACTGCCAGTAAATGACTGTCTTGGTTCAATAGTGGCCATCTTTAGTTTATATGGTCTTTTAGTCGACGAATCACTTCCGGAAATGGTAGTAAAAATGTATTTGTTGGCAAGGTAGTTTAAACTTAGGTGGCCTTAAAAAGAACCGATAAGACTGTTGGTTCAAGTTCAAAAAGTATGGAATGTAAATACTTACAATGGCCCTAAAAAGGGCCAGTGGTGGAACTTCCAGCTATTCCTTATTATTATTCCTGATGATAAAGAGCTGGCTGCGGGTAGCTTGACTCTTACCATCAAAGTCTCTATGTATGAAGACTGTGATGGAGGGAGGTTCACCACTGACCAGAGAATATCTTGTCTTCGGGTCGTTCCTCAGTTAACCAACCGCTAATCGTTATAGTCGGGAAAAAGTGGGAATGTCGATGGGGACACGACCACTGAGAAGAAAGCCGTTGTGGCTGCCTATGCTCCTCACCTCAGGGTTGTCTTCCCTGGCTTACGTTTGTAGCCAAAAATTCTCCGACGGCACTAGGCGGGATGGTGGAATGGCCATACAACTGTAAAGTGTTGAAGCAGGTTGCGCTTTGGCTAGATACGTCTCCTGGTATTCCGCCGGAGACGTTACTGGTTACAATAATTTTTTATTGGTGGTACTCGTCAATCCTGGAAATCCAGGATGAATGTAGACTTAGGGCACTTGCCCATTAGAGAAGAGCGTCGTCGGGAACCGGGATACCCAGCTGCAAAACTATTATCTACATTCTCGATGCAGCTTGATGAACGGACGGTGAACAACTGCTAAAATTTTTCGAGATGCTCTGGCGTAGTATAACCACACTTTAATTCTGTTGCAGGTAGCCTCGACTTTATGTTGACACCACCTAGCAGATACTACTGAACTAAAGCGAAAAGCTGGCGTACGTTTGCAAAACTTTGAGCTTATTTATTGCTATTGTTATTAAATTTTTTAAGATAAAAACTATACTAAAACCATCTAGGAAGTGTCAAGAAT